ACCTGGCCACCTTTCAGATCTTGAGTCTAAAGGGAGATAAGGAATTGTTTTAATACCCCAGGTAATTTTATGCTATCAGCCTGGCACCAGTCCACTTATTGTTGTTTAAACACCATAACACTATGCTATATTACTTTGGTGATGAGGCCACAAATTAATAGCAGTAGCAAAAAATATATTGAAAGGGACTCACCCACATTAATTTCATACATACACATATTGTACAATGTGAATATGTGACAGGTATTCATTTGAGCTGATATGCTGGGTACTTACCTGTAGTTCAGTCACAATGAACGAGTCACTTTATATGTTCTGTCATATGAATAACAGAGAAGCTTTGGGGGCAGATACTCTAATTCCCATTTTAACAAATGAGGGAAATTGGATTAAAAAAACTAACTGGTATGAAGAAGCTGGGATTCAAATTGAAGTGCCTCTGAGCTCATGTTTTTAATACTACATCATCCATTGTTTCCTTGGTCTAGAGATCACCACTTGGCATTGTTTTTAACTGATAAAAAAAAAAATTGTGGGGCAAAAAAAAAAAAATTGTGGGGCTGGGGATGTGGCTCAAGCGGTAGCGTGCTCGCCTGGCATGTGTGCGGCCTGGGTTCGATCCTCAGCACCACATACAAACAGAGATGTTGTGTCCTCCGAAAACTAACTAACTAAATAAATAAATAAATTCTCTCTCTCTCTCTTTCTTTAAAAAAAAATTGTATTTACTTAGAAGCATTCATAATGTCAACAGGTGCAACTTTTTTCTTTTTTTCTTTTTGCAATTACAGAGTGGTATTCAGTTAACAGAACAATAATTATTTTGTATAACTTTCATCAGAAGCAACTGAAGATGAAAAACTACTGTCCCCATATATAACTAATTTGGCTGTGCACCATGAACCTGCTTTAAATTTCCATGCCAATTCACAACCCCATACTGTATCAGGCAAGGTTGGAGCTACTGAAAATACCACCAGGAGAGGGCTCTCTAAAGACACATTTGGTAGTGTGTTAATTATACAAAAAAAAAAAAAAAAAAAAAGACACTGTATAGTTTAAAAGCAAATCTTACATTGCAATTTTTTTCTTTAAAAGGAGTGAATGGTGGGGTTTAAGTGCTTTATAGACAATACAAATAAACTGCACTAGAACCAACTTATTCATTATCATCCTCTTCATCTTCCTCTTCTTCCTTCTTTTTCTTGCTTTTTTCAGCCTTGACAACTCCCTTTTTTGCTGCATCAGGTTTTCCTTTAACTCAGTAGGCAGCAATATCCTTTTCATATTTTTCCTTCAGCTTAGCAGCTTACTTTTCGTAAGGTTTCTTGTCATCTGCAGCAATGTTAGTCCACAACTTTTCCAGTTTCTTTGCAACATTACCAATGGTTAGGCCAGGATGTTCTTCTTTGATTTGGGGGCAATACAAGGAAGAGAATAAGAAGGCTGTGGAGGCCTTTTGGGTACATTGGCATCCTTGAACTTTTTTGTTTCCCCTTTAGGAGGGAGATAGATAGGTTTTCATTTCTCTTTCATAATGGGCCTTGTCAGCCTTTGTCATGTCTTCAAATTTCCTTTCTTTTTAGCAGATATGTTCTTCCACCTCTCTGAGTACTTCTTAGAAAACTCTGAGAAGYTGAGTGAAGCATCTGTGCACCCAGATGCTAACCCAGCAAGTTTGCACAAGGAATGCATATGATGACCTTTTGCCTCTTGGTTTTGCCTCTTGGTTTCTTAGCATCTCCTTTGCCCATGTTAAGTCGATTTTCCTCAGCAAGGCACAGAGTCACCCAGTGACCATCAGGATCTCATTTGCCCTGGCACTGTCTCTATGGAGCTCAGTGTACCACAATAGCTGTGAGAGCAGAAACGAGATGCCTGGAAATTTTGACTTAAAACTTGTCAATGATAGTTGGAAAATTTAAGGCCCCCCTATTCTAGTTAACTGCTCATTTCAATGGCACTTGAAATTCAAGGGACTTTTCTCCACATTATTAAAACAATAGATTTTTATAGAGGAAAACCTCCAAAAGAAACTTGAATCTTTACATTGAATATCTTTACATATTGAAATCATAGGTTTTGTAGTCATCAGACCTGAATATAAATCCTATCACTTAATGTGTGTCTTTAGACAAGTTAACATGTCAAAGGTTAGTTCCCTCATCTATAAAAAAGCCTAACAGTATCTACCAAACAGCATTGTATTGTGTGAGAATGCACCTAGTCAAACTACGGTTTTTGTAAGAGTGGCTTAAAAGTACCAGTGGGGATGCAGTTAGCAAAATCTGGAATGTTACAGGTTCTACACAACAAATAATTTGATTACTTATGTTGGGTAACCCAGTTCCTTAAACAAATTGCAAAAAAAAAAAAAAAACCAAAAAAAAACGGGGGGGGGGATGTAAAAAGGTTAAGACTTGCAACATTAACCAAATGAACAGACTTTGTTGGGATTTAAGTGGGAACAACAACTGTAGAATTTTTGAGCCACTGGGGAACCCTGAGCATTGATTGGATATTTGATACTAAGAAGTTGTTTATGGGGGCGCTGGGGTGTGGCTCAGCAGTAGAGTGCTCACCTAGCACATGTGAGGCCCTGGGTTTGATCCTCAGCCCCACATAAAAATAAATATATGGTGTCCAACTAACATTGGTATTATGGTTATGTTTTTTCATTGTTGTAGTTCTTTTTAGTTATACATGACAGTAKAATGTATTTTGACATACATAAAATGGAGTATAACTTCCTGTTTTGGGGTTTATACATGATGTGGAGTTACACTGGTCATGTATTCATATAAACATAGGAAAGTTACATCCAATTTATTCTACTGTCTTGGTTATGTGTTTTAAGAACCTATGTCTGGGCTGGAGATGTGGCTCAGCGGTAGCKCGCTCGCCTGGCATGTGTGCGGCCTGGGTTCGATCCTCAGCACCACATACAAACAAAGATGTTGTGTCCGCCGAAAACTAAAAAATAAATATTAAAATTCTCTCTCTCTCTCCCTCTCTCTTTAAAAAAAAAACAGAACCTATGTCTTACAGATACATATGAAAATATTACAGGTGTAATGTCTGGAATTTGCTTCAAAGCAGGATGGGGCAGAGAACGTAATAAGTTATGAATATAATGAGTTGATTATTGCAACTGGTAAATACAAAATTACCAATTAACATGGTTTAGACCTGTTTATCTCTTCCCAAAAGTTAGTAAATTTATTCAGAGCTACTGTAAAACCAAAGGATTACTAGCCTTGCCTCACTGGTCTCTTTGTTGGAGATAATAGTATAGCCAAACGTGCAGCCTTCAGTTGTGTATTAAGTTCAGCTCCTACTCATTATGCGTCTAGTCTCTGAAACAAGTTGCTGATCAAATCAAGATGAGACATTTGGCTCTAGAGAGAAACTTCATCTAATTTAATTCCATGTTATATCCTCCTCTCTTTCCAAGATTATCAATTTGAGTGAACTGAGCTGTGGGAATGAACCAAGSATTCAAGCTCCTGTTTTCATGCCAGTTTCTTACATCAAGAGTGCATGGTTCTCAAAATAATGGATGTTAGGTGAGATTAAATCCAGAGTCAGCAACAAAGTGGAGATCCTGATAAAGCACAGGGTCCTGAAACATAAACCTGAAATAAAAGATGACTAAACCTGAAATAAAAGATGACTGGAGAGTGATGGTTTACTAGTGTGTAACTCAGAATCTTAACCGTGTCAGGCCTGGGGGAGTATAGCACAGTGGTGGAGTACATCTTTCTTATTTTCTGTATTTGACACACAAGGTGCTCCATTAGAAAATAGGAATTCAACATCTTGACTAGATTGTAAATTTTTTTTTTTTGTAGTTGGACACAGTACCTATTTTTTATTAATTTATTTTTATGTGGTACTGAGGATCGAACCCAGGGCCTCACACRTGCTAGGCGAGCATTCTACTGCTGAGCCACAACCCCAGCCCTGATTGTAATGTTTAATGGGAATTGATACATATAAAACCAAGATTGTTTCACAGCAGATGTAGCAAAGCAAATATAAAGGAAGCCAATCAAACCTTGGAGATCTCAGCTAGCTGATTTTGACCACCCATCCACAGACTTTCCCACCTATCCTCAAGAGGAAAGCAATTGAAAATATAAGCTTTTACCAAAGTTTTTTCTAAAGAGCAACTTGAGTGCAGTACCAAGTTACCTTTCTGATCATTATTGCGATAGTCGCAGTTCAGAATGATAATGCTAAGGTTCTGAATGAACCTCAGTCATTAGCAGAAAACTGGTTTCTGCCTTTCAAAATATTCATTGAAAGTGTGGCTTAAACCCAAGACTTCACTTACAAACCCTTAGAAAACCTGAATAGACATTCTTTGAATGGCCTTCTGAAGCTTCATTATACCAAAATATTTCTTTTTTTTTTTAAAGAGAATTTTTTATTATTTATTTTTTAGTTTTCAGCGGACACAACATCTTTGTTTGTATGTGGTGCTGAGGATGGAACCCAAGCCGCACTCATGCCAGGTGAGCGCGCTACCGCTTGAGCCACATCCCCAGCCCCCCAAAATATTTCAATCTATTACACTGCATAGCAAAAACAGTATATTTGGTTTAAAGTACAAAAACTCAGGTGGCAGAGATCTAGATGATAAGTACAGAATTTAAAATTAAGCTTCTCGATCTTGCTATCTAGTTTTATACATTTGAAATTAGTTTACATTTTGGGRGACAACTAATTGCATCAAGTGCATGTACTTTTCACAACCACTTCTGACAAAGTATTACAGTCAGAGCAAAACTGATTTCAACAGTCTCAAGTGGACCAGATATAGCAGTTTTCTTTCCTAGCCCAGCAAGCCTTAGAATTTTCTATTTTGCAAATGACTGCCTTGAAAACAAAGAGGGCAGTAGACTTTGATTATGTTGCTCCATTGCTTCTTACTTTCCCTGACTTAAAAGACATCAGTTAGACTTCTTGCTGGAAAAGCAATAGAACAACACAATCAGTTACTTGTTACTCAACAATCATTTATTGTTTCTGTGTTCAAGGCACTAAGTTAGGTGCCAGGAGAGAAAAGATGAAAATACAAATAAAAGTGGACTCTGCCCTCCAGGAGCGTACAATCTAGTAGGTGAGATTATTTGCAGGTGAATAACTAATACCAGACAGAGACAGAAAGTACCACAGGAGATAAAGTACAGCAGGAAGCTTTCTTAGTTCTCAACTTCAAAGTTAAGACCAGGTCACAGTAAACTGATTTGGACTCTTAATTCCACAGGCATCTGTGTGGCAGGCATGAAAAGGCAGCTCAAAGTACCTGCTAGGTTCTGATGAACTGAGCTGCATCTTGGATTTTGGTTCCCCAGTTCTCTCAGCTGAGGTTCCAGTGATTTAGCAATGGTGCCTGCTATCACTGAAAGAATGCCAAGAGAAAAATGACAATACACGAATTAAAATACGCACAGGAACTCCTCATGGTAGTGTSCACTGGCTGGGTCCTCAGTACTGCCTTTATAGAGGGACATGGTAGAGTGGGTAAGGGAGACCACTGGACTAAACATCAGGATTTCAGATGCTCATACTTAATGGGGTATTGGGCAATATTTAGGCCTCAAGTTTTAAGACATTAAAACAAATGATCTCCAAGGTTCTCTGGAACTCTCAAATCAAAAAATATAAACTAACCTTTAGCATCTTAGCCATAGCTATTTTAAAGTCAGTGTTATTGTCCCCTCTTTTTCATCTCTCATAGAAAAGCCTCTGAAAAAATAAAAGCTAGATCTCCTCCACCCCTTTCTTGACTTTGATAYGGACAAGCAATAATAGAAAGGGAGAGTTTTTATTTTTTTAACCAGTTAATGCTTCAGAAGTAAATCATTCCTGGTTCTTTGAATAGGCACCTATTTGCTCAGCCCCAGCACCTTGTGCCCCATGTGGAATTGCAGCCCCAAAGTTCTCAGCCATGTGGGTTTCAGTTTGGGCTATTAAGAATACTTGAATGAAAAGGTGAAAGATTTTGGTCAAAAGTTCTCCACTCCTTTGAGCTACTTTAAGTAAACCATTTTCTCTCAGTTTCCAGGATTTAAATTTTCCAACAGCTTCACTGTTTTAAAAACTTGGGCAGAACACTGAGAGGTACTGGCAGTTAGGGAGGATTATGTTTTAAACAGAATGTGCTTCCAAGGGAAAAAGTTAAGAAAGAGATGCAAGCAAAGTAATTTCTGTTACAGCTTCTTGGCCCTTTGCCTAGCAGAAATAAGATTACCATAAGGAGAATTTCTGTGACTCTTCAGAGGCCAGCAGGATCAAATTTATTTTGCCTCCACTTCCCTCTTCCTTAAATGTGTTTRTTGCCAGAGCACCACTTCTATCCCTGAAACATGGTCTGTTTGCATGGGAATTTAGCTTAGTGGCTCCCTTGCTTCTATTTCAACCAAAGCTAAAGCCGAAAGTCTATGCAACATTAAATCTTTTGGGGACCACAAGGTGTGTCAGCCATCCAATTCTGTCATGCCAGAATAAATAATCCCTTTGGACTCTGTCATAGAACAATCGTGGTTTGCCTAAATGCCAACGCTTAAGATAGCAATACTAAAGCATAAGCTAGGCCTGAATGACCCACCAGGCTCATTTGACATCATGAGAGCTGAGAGACAGCTGGGGGCAACTGATCTCAATGTGGCAGGGTTTACAAATAGCGCCAAGAAACTGAGTTCTGTTAGATATTGCTATGAGCACAAAATGGCTTGTATTGGTTCTCAGTTCACAAAGTGCAATAAGAACAGAAGAAATGCAGTTAATCCTGGCACCAAGCAGAGCACTAGTAGGCTCRATTTCACTGACAAAGAACAATTCTTCCTACTTATAATCTTATAGAAGATTCTTCTACCAAATCACTTCTCCAATCCCATTAAATAAAAAGAGATCAAAAACAGTTGAATCAATTGCAATACAAAAATAAGACCCTGCAAGCACCAAAGAGATTGTATGAGTTTGGGGGTGATTATGGAGACAGTAGCTTTTAAATGAAAGCTCCTGATAAAAATCTTGGTTTTTTAAATTTATTTTCCCTTTCTATAAAGCAAGAATTACATTGTATCTGGGCAAATGGCTTATAATATTTCACAAATTCTGCAAAGAAATATAAATTTTTGAAGTGTCATTTTCTATTAATATTCTTATAGAAAGACTTTTAGCTGACAATCCCATAAATCTTTGAGACATACTATTATGAAGTTGCCACAATATAGGCAAAAAGGGTAGGTAACTTTCTTTTTTTCTTTTGTCCAGATTAACAGTGTTGTTTTATATTCTGACTCTTCAGTAGACTTGAAGACAATCTGGCTTATCAAGTATTCCCTTTTAAGGTGTGTCCTTTATTTCTTTGGCATGCAAGGCTGACAGGACAGTCCTACTTCTACATACAAATAACCTTCTTCAACACTCAGATGATAAAAAACACCTTCATGTGTTGGGGTTCAGGCTAATGTTGAGAACCARAAATCTACAAAAACTCAATTCATGTTTTTTAAATACTTTATATGGTAAAAATACAGCAAAAATAGTATCTTGTTCAAAGACGAAAATATATACTGCTATGGTCACGGTTCTAAGGATGATGTAAGTAGTCTCTGGCTCCTCAACTGTGCACTGTACTGTAGGTTAACTCCAACCACAGCTTCTCCGGCTTCAGTCATTTATCAAAGCTAAAATCATACTGTGAAAAGAAGAAATTAATGTTACTAATGTTTCCTTTTTAGAAATGTTCCTACAGTCTGGTCTGTCCAGATTTCCATCACTAAGGGTCATCAAAGAACATTCATTTGAGTAGAAGACAATCATGTTTTACCCAAAAGGAAGAATATTTATACTAGGGATTCTTGATGGCCTAATTYTTCACTAAATAATAAGTAATTAGGGGTGAAAGTGGGAGTACAACCTAAAAACAATATGGGAGTATATGTTTAAAAAAAAAAAAGGAGCCTATATGCAGGGGGGGGGGGGGGAACAACCTTTAATTATCTCACCAGGTCTTTGCACAAGCTATTGCTATGCCTGGAATGCCTCTGCCCTACTCCCCCACCACACCTCCACACACACACTTGGGCTTCCATGATCAGGAAGGTGATCTGAAGCACCTCCTGAGGAGGCCAGCCTCAGACCAGAGCAGTTGCATGGCTCCTTCCATAGCTCATCATCTTGCATGCTCTGATCTATGAGCTCCTCCAAAATGAGAGCACGATCCCAACACCTGCACTTTCACGTCCTATGTGACACCCTAGGACACCAATTGTGAAGCTCAGAGCTCTCCACTGCAGGGATTCTGCATTGCTCCTTTGTGTAACTCGCAGTGCTTTACAGTGTCTGACCCATAGCAATCATCCAATAAATAATCTTATGAAATCACCTCAGTTGAACAATGATAAAAAACGATCCTTTCCTTTTATTTATCAGGGATCAGACTTGCTCTGCTGAGATCAAATGACTAACATGCACAAAAAGACCCTTATGATACTAATGGTATAAATGATTAGTTCTCTAAATTTAACAATATTAAATATACACAATGAACAGCACAGATTAATGGTAGTAGCTGGTATTTTTGAAAGACTTTTGAGCATTTACTATACACATCAATATAAATCTAAGTGCTCTACAGGCACCATCTCACTTAGTCAACACTACAATTCAATGAGRAAGGTATAAGATTCCATTTTCCAATGAAAAACTGAGGCACAGAGAAGTAAATATACCTGCCCCAAGTCACACAGGAAGTGGTAAAGCCCAGCTTCTACTTGGTTAGCACCTAACCAAAACTCAAAGGCATTAATTTCACCATTCTTTAAGAAAGATGAACATTTTTTTTCTTGTTTCCAAAACTTTAGTTCTATTGAACAACATGCCAGGTGTGGCAGACAACAGAATCAGAATAGGAGCAGCATAAAAACTCTGCAATAAAAGCTGGTAATTTRATAATAAAATCACTTAAAAAAATAGCAACCAAAACCAAGAAAAAAAAGTGCTACAAGGTCATATTCTAAAACTATTCTCTTTCATCCTGATCCCTGTAACTATGAGTGACACTAAGGGATGGGTAATAGCAAAGTGACTGAAAATGACAAGCTGACAGGGAAGAAGAAAGGAAGAAAAGAGAGAGAGAGAAACAAGGAAAGGAGCAGCTGCCAGGTACACCAGTTATACAGTTTGCTTATCCTTCATTTAGTTGTAAAAAGCCATATCTTAAAACTACTACTACTTTCCTGGTGCTGGGGATTCAACCCAGACCTTTCACATGCTACAATTCTACTGAGTGTTGTATCACTGAGCTATAGTYCCCCTAATGGCTTCCCAATTCCTCCAGCCTGTTTTCCCATTGCTTTAAATTCAGTGACCAAGACAAAGAAACTCTTGTGCATTTTTGAATCTCAAGACTTCAGGTCTACTAAGCCATATGACTGCTCCTCAATTCTATGTTTATTTTCAAAAAGCCTGTCTATAACATGAACCCAAGAAAGYTCACACTACCAAGATGCAGGGAATGTCTGCTCAAGTTTACTCTCCAACAGTGTGAAACCTTCAGGGGAGAATGAAAAAGGATAACCTTAGCTATACCAATTTCACCTAGTTTTTTTGTTTCTGTTACTTCAGAAACAAATACAAAGAAACATTTGACAGTAAAGATACCGTCCCATAGTTTGACCTAAAAAATGAAAATATATGCATCATTGTATTCTTTTGTTTATTTTCTTTTTTGAGATGGGGGTCTCAYATGTTGCCCAGGCTGGGCTCAAACTCCTGCCTTAGCTTCTGGAGTAGTTTGAACTACAGGCACATACCACCACACCCAGCTTGTGTTCTTAATATTAAAACTGTTTGACCTTTAATTTCATCTTTAATACCTAGATTAAAAATTAAGCCCATTAGCACTAAGGTAGGGCACAAGAACCAGAAACTGATAGCAGTGATTTCTTTTGCCCTAATTTTCAAAATAAAACTCCAAAAAAAGCAAATAAAATGAATGGTGAAAAGGGACTGAACTCTTTTTTCTTTTTCTTCAGTACTGGGGATCAAACCCAGGGCTTCATGCATGCTATGCAAACACTAATACTGAACTATATCCCAGTCCTAAACTTTTTTTGAATTGGGGAAGGAGGGGCTAGGAGTTGAACCCAGGGCACCATCCCTCTGAGGTATACCCCAGTCTTTTTTATTTTTTTATACTGAGACAGGGTCTCACTAAGTTGCTAAGGTTGGACTCAAACTTTCAATCCTCCTGTCTCAACCTCCCAAATCACTGGGATTACAGGCACTTACCACCATGCGCAGCCCTAAACTCTAATTTTAATTTATTCTTTGCTAGTGGGTAGATTCAACCCAGTAAAGGAGGTCCATAAGGCAGCTTTGTCAGGCAGATGCCTGACAAAGTTTATGACTTTAAACTATTTCAGATAAAAAAGCATTATCTCCATATAATTGCTATTAAGAATCTTGCAAGGGTAAAAGCTTAGTAGTATAAATTTTTCCTAAATAGTTCTTATGCTTGTGCAAAACATTAAAATTTCAAGGGCTAGAGGTGTAGCTCATTGGTAGAACACTTGCTTAGCACACATAAGACCATGTGTTCAAGGCCCAGCACCACAAAAAAAATGAAAATTTTTTAAAAAGGAGAAAAGTAGAAATCATCTRATTAAAGATTTGATACTAAAGTTAAGCCTGATTTCTAACTTCCTACAGGCTTAATCAAATCATACAGTGGCATTTTTTTCCCTCCCCTTTGCTCTGTACTATAAGTCTATGATAGATAAAGGAAAATGTGGTATGTTCATCTCTAAAACATAAGGGAATAAATTTAAGTTTTAAACAAGACTACACAGGCTTCCAGTGTGTGACAGTCAATTCTTCATATTAATTCTTACTTGCATATATTATAACTAGAAGACATACAATTAGACCATTTAGAACCAAGGAAAATCAGCATCACATCTAAATTCCTTACTGACAAGAAAGATCAGCCCAATTTGATGTAAGTTGTTGAGATCAGCTGCCAGTAGTTTAACTCCCCAGGAACCCATAAGAGGGATGGTCTCTAGGGGTACATATATTAATGCTTGTGATAGGTGAAACCTGCTACAAGTAATCCCTCACAGCTAAACAATAGGGCAGGAAAAGAATAGCCAAGACAGGGGCTAGAGTTGTGGCTCGGTGGTACAGCACTTGCCTAGCATGTGTGAGGCACTGGGTTCGATTCTCAGCACCACATATAAATAAATAAATAAAATAAAGGTCCATTAATATCTTAAAAAATATTTTTTAAAAAAATAGCCAAGATAGTTTTAAGCATGTTGATAGCCTCAATGACTAAGGAATAACTTACAGAGTAACTCTACTATAGACTAAATAGAATGCTGATTCGATAACACACATAAAAGAATCTACACAGCCACATAAGAAATTCACATAAAACCCCCAAAGTTGGGGCTGGGGATGTGGCTCAAGTGGTAGCGCGCTCTCCTGGCATGCGTGCGGCCCGGGTTCGATCCTCAGCACCACATACCAACAAAGATGTTGTGCCCGCGGAAAACTAAGAAATAAAGATTAAAAAATTAAAAAAAAAAAAAAACCCAAAGTTATTCAAAATCAATGCAAAATCTTCTACTATAGTAATAACTTATCCATCAAAAGCTGACATGGCATCTAAAAAGATGCCAAGAAAACTTTAAACTCACCTATAAAGATACATGAAGAAACAGAGCAAGTGGAAACCAAGTTTGATCATGGCTTCTTTCATGTGTGACTTCAGTTGCCCTCGATTGTGTATTTCCGTTGGATCAAACACTCCCATGTTGCCACTTGGTACCATAATAAAACTGATAAATTAAAGGATATACACATTAAAAAGAAATTCAAACTGTTAGCATAAATATTGAAAAAAAATAACTAATAATAATCAACCTTTAAATGTGAACCCATCATTGCAGCTTTTAATTCAAATCAAATATAGACAGAAATGGTGTTGTGGGCTACCACTTAGTCTTCCTCTGGAAATTATAATACTGTTAATTTTTAGTGTAATTTTTTTGTCCTCTGAAACAAATACAGTAATATTCTAAAAAGGGATGTTTTATGCACTGAGAACCTTTTATCCATCTCCTGTAGAAAACTACCAAACCAGTCATCCATCCCTACAGCTCTTTTCCAATATACAAAGGTTAATGGAGACTCTAAAACCAAACTAATTTCATCAAGTTCTTAGAAATTTCTTTATAGGATATGGAGAATTAAGAAAACTGGATTACTTTGTATATGTCTGGGTTTCAACATCCAGACTGTGCTGTTTGTGTAACATACATGTTTTAACTCAGCACTGTTTATGATTTCTTCTGGCTTTCATGTCCAAGTTTCTAGGACAATCTGGTTTCCTCATTCTTGCTACAATGAATTACCACCTCTGTGAAATGCAAAGGCCCTTCTGAGCTCCACAAATCTTAAATTCTCTCCCAAATCCTAGTAGCACACCTATACTTATATATCAGAGAAGTCTCAAAGAGTCTTATTGTTCTCTGACTTCCAAGTTATCTAAGAAGAGTGTCACTTTTTTWAAAAAAATATTTATTTTTTTAGTTTTAGGTGGACACAATATCTTTATTTTATTTTTATGTGGTGCTGAGGATCGAACCCAATGCCCCGTGCATGCCAGGTGAGCGCACTACCACTTGAGCCACATCTCCAGCCCCAAGAGTGTCACTCTTTTTTCTTTCTTTTTTTGTTTGTCCTTAAAACTTCATGTAGTTGGGCATGTTGTTGCTAAATAGAAAAGCCATACAGACTGAGAAACATTTCCCTAGCTCAGGTTCTAGTTTCACTATCTTTTTAAGATCATCCTGCAAATCTACCCCTTACTTACCTCTACTACCTTCCACTATCTTTTCACATTCTTCTTATGTTCCTCCAACACTTTGTTCTTTTCTATGTCCTTTTTATTATAATTGTACTTTATAYCATGCTTAAGTATTGGCAATGAATGGTTTTACACTAAAAAAAATAGATACAAAAAAAATAAAACCTAAAAATATAGAGGCTGGGCACAAGAGTGCAAGCCTGTAATCTCAGTAACTTGGGAGAGTAAGACAAGAGGATGGCAAGTTCAAAGCCAACTTCAGCAACTTAGTAACACTCTAAGCTTGTCAAGATTTTTCCACAATTATTCACAAGACAATATGCTTCATAATAGTACAACTATAAAATTATATCCAATCACTGTTTCTATTATTTTTTAACAAACTTCCTAAATTTATTAAGTCAAAAATTCTGATAAGTTACCTAATTTGCAGGTTTTAAAAATGTAATTTTCTTTGGAGTATTCTAAGTATAGTACACTCTAATTAAAAACTGTATCTACAGATGCTAGGATTATGGCTCAGTGGTAGAGCGCTTGCCTGGCACGTGTGAGGTTCTGTGTTCAATCCTTAGCACCACATAAAAATAAATAAATAAGTGTCCATTTACAACTAAAAAAATTTAAAAAAACTATCTACAAACAAAAAGGGCTTACATTTTCAGACTTTTGACTATAYTTAAAAGAAAATTATACTCAAAGCAATGAAAAAACATTTCACAAGTCTTTAGACATTACAAATAAACATGACATGTAAATTTGTGCTTTAACCACAAGATCAAAACATGCAATTACCATTTGCCCAATATTCCAAAGTGAAACAACAAAATTTATACTGATTTAATAAAGCAATTTTCATGGAGAAAAGAAAGCTGTTTACTTAAAAAAAAAGAAAAAAAAAAAGAAAGAAAAAAGTTTAACTGCCCTGACAAAATAGTAAACAAATTATACTTACCGATATATATTCCAAGTAGCAACAGGTAAGTTGAGAAGGAATATGAACCAGTGCAATGAAACAAGCATTAATACAGTGACAACAGTATGGCCAATCAATTCTGGAATTACCCACTGCAAGGAAAGAATACAATATTATGCCCACCACCATGTCTTTCCTGACTATACATGTTATTTGAAAGTAAATCAATGAATGTTCAAAGAAAGTTTACAAGCTACTGTTTCAAGATTATTTTTAGACTCAGATGTCCCAGATTTGCATAGTGTTGACCCCATGCAAATGCATCAGGGAGCAGCTTAAATATAAAGCACTTAAATTTCAATTGTGTTTTGTCCTAAGCAAAGGCTTAAAGTCAATCACTAAGCAGGTTTAAATGCTAACTAGAGCAAAAATAGAGAGTATTATTTATTTTCTATTCAAATATCTATGCTAAAGCCTCTTATTCTAATTTGGGATGGTTAATATGCATTTTCAGGTTGCTTCTAAGTCAGAATATCAATCTTGAAACAATTTCCTATCTCCAGAATCCTTTAAAAGCTTATAATATCAGACCCCTACAGAAGTAGTTTTCAAACTCTGGATTTCTTTTTCTCTTCTTCCTTTCTTTCATTCATTCATTTATTTTTTTGGTACTTTTGTGGTATTTTTGATTCAACCCAGGAGCACTTTATCACGGAGCCATATCCCCWTCCCTTTAAAGTTTTTTAATGACAGGGTTTTGATAACTTGTCCAGGCTGGACTCACACTTGCAATCTGCCTGTCTCAGCCTCCCAAGTCACTGGGATTACAGGTATGTACCCCTGCTTCAAGCTTAAACATTTTACCATATAGAAAATAGTACTGAAGGGTTTGGAGATGTATCTGAAGACTAAGTAACAGKTAAATAAAAGAAAAGTAATTTTTCTGGAAAAGATACCCAGAAAAAAAAAAAAAAAAGGAAAGAAAGAAAAATACTATCACTATCAACTGAGGTTCAGCAATAAAAAATATCTATATTTTATAACAGTGCATTATGATATAAACATGGAATATTTTCAAAAAGGAAAATGAAATAATAGGAAAATAGATGTTTAAGTAAAGGAGTACAGAACAATTAAATCTTTTCTTCCATATTGTGAAGTCAATATTTAAAACTGACAAATCCAGAAATAGTGCAAACAAATGAAAAAGAAACAGAGATATAAATACCAGAAAAAAAATAAACTGTCCAAGTATTAAAATCAGTTACCCCTTTAGCAAGACAGGACTTAAAGGGGTCAGGAAGAGACCACTATTTTTCACTATAAACTTTGCAATACCACCGACTTAGTCGTGTATATATACAACTTTCATAAAAATTAACATTAAAAAAACTACTTAAACTTCAAATCCAAGGAGCAACTTTGTCAGTAGAAGAATATAGTAATCTTAAAAGTAGAAGAGGAATCATTACAAAGAGGGCTGGGAAGAGGGTTGGAGGAAGGGGAGGGCAGGAGAGGGCAGATGGAAAGGTAGATACGATCAACATACAACACATCCATGTTTGGAAATGTCACAGTGAAACCCATTAATCTGTAAAATTAATACATGTTAATTTTAACTTTTTCAGAGATACACTTTTCAAAAAATACAAAATCAAAAAATAACTTTATTTTCTTCATGGGTCAGAGAAACTAAAGTATACTGAAAATGTGAAGACCCATGAAAATTGTTTTTAGGTCAAGCCAAAAACACCTCTCAAGTATTCTATTTGTATTTGAACTCTCATCCAGAAAGTGTTTGTCTACTCATTGTAAAATGAATTAGGGACAACTGGTTTCCCTATATCTAGACGAGTTCTGCAGTTCAGAATATTGTGCCAATATAAAGTTCTGACTATACTAAAAGTAAATGGCCTTAAAACAAATCTAATCAATTTACTTCTATGCAAGCCACACAAGGAAGGTCTTCTTTCATCCAAAAAAAGACAAACTGARAATTTTATCCATAAGTGGAAGGAAGAGGTTTAGACACAGAAAACAAAAATAATTATCTTCATAATGAACCTGAGCCTGGACTGAATAATGAAGCTGCCTACTGTAGACAGGAATACACAGAATAAAGAAATGAAATTTCAAGTCAAATCTTATAGCATAATTTTATGATCTAAAATATTGCAAAGCAGCAGTTCTACCAACAGTCTAATGAATATACACTCTAAAATGAACTCTAAAACCAACATGCATTCTAAAATAAAAAATGCATGTTGATTATAATAATCTTTAAAATGGAAAATGAAGAACTGACTTCAATAGCAAAAAGTGAGCAAGAAAATGTCTTACCTTGTTTAATTTCGAGCAACATGATCTAGCATTAATGTAATCACATTCTAAATCAGACAATGTAATTATCTGATGATCAAGATAAGGAATTATACTTTTTTATAAAAATTATGCATTTAGTTTCAGAAAGCAATCCCAGTTGCAAGGAAGAGGATGTATCTCAGYGTTACAGCTGCACATGGCCCTGAGTTTGAGTCTAAGCTTAAAAAAAAAGTTAAAATATTAATTTCCACTAGAAAAGTAGTGTTTATTTATGATATATCAAGAAAACATCTTTGATGACTTAAAATGTAAATAAAGAAAACAAGATACAAAAACTATAAACACCCCATGGTC